AAAACACGAAAAAGATCTCAAAGAGATTAAAGGTCACAAGAGAGATTTTCAATTTCCAAAAAAAAAAACTTGACATAAGCAAGAGAAATAATGAAAAGTTCGAAAAGTTACGAACAATGTGAAATATAAAATGAGCCGATTATTCTGATTAGCCTGAAATGGATGTTTCTAATATGGAAAACTTTAAATAGGAACAGTAGGGGAAATATTTTAAATTAATATATCAAATCAATCAATAAAATATAGTACATCAATTATTTGTTATGCATAAATTATATATATACAAATATATCTTATCTATCGTTTGGTCTATTTCGTGTCGTTTCGTGCTCCCATCTCCAATTTGAAGTGCTGCCGTCAGTGCAAACAATTTTTGCGTAAAATAAACAATGGGATCAAAATATTAAATTACCAAATGAAATTTTTGGAGTGCAGTGAAAACGGTAAACTACTTACAACATGGATATATAAATATGTACATATATATGAGGGCAGTTTGTTGTGCGCTCCTCTTCTTCCAATATGTGAACTCTCCCTCTTGCTCAATCAATGCAGGTAAAACCGTTACGAACAGCTTGGAACTGGGCAAAGCCGCAAATCGAATACGGCAGAAAGCACGTGCCTAGCGCGTTCTCGCTCTCGCTTGCACTTATTCTTTACCTCTCACGCTCTCGCTCTTTCTGGCTGCTCTTCGTTTGCTGAATGAAAACGTAGACAGGCAGGCAGAGGAGAGAGAGAGAGCGAGAGAGAGAGAGAGAGAGAGAGAGAGAGAGAGAGAGAGAGAGATTCGAAAAGGGATAATGTGCGTACCATTCAAATGCTGCTGTTACCGTTGTCCTTGCTGTCAAGTCTTTGTTATTTCAGAGATCGATGGAAAGTCAACAATTGACAGTTATGAAAACAGATGATGATAATGATGATTCGCTTGTTGTGCTGCCTCTTCTCTAGCTCGTTGTTGTTTTTGGGATGTTCTCAATGTCAGGACACGCGTCCTAGCCGCCTTTGCAGGCCACATTAAGCCGTTAGCCGAGCGTTGAACCTAAGCTGCAATTGCAACTGGAAGTCAAGTAAACAGTTTCACAGCACAAAACAAAATCTTCCCACACTCGCCGCATGCACTTGACTGTCCCGCCCGATCGACACCCTGTTCCCACCCCCCCAACCCCACCCACTGCCTTTCCCAGGCATGTGTATTAGAAACAAAAATTTGACATTTGCCTGCACTTAACTGTCACATAAAGTGTTAAATGAAATGAGCAGAAGCAGCCACAAAAACGCGCCGACTGCAGCAACACTTGAGATTGAGAGCGACCCCAATTGCAAACCACCAAGCAGCAGCAGCACCACTAACACCACACACACACACGCACACGCACACACACACATAGTACTCACCACTGGCAACACCATTTAGAACGCCAAGTATTTATGCTGTCATTACATTTCGGCTCGGTTCGGTTTCGGGTTTTTTGATACCCTAGACACTAAAGTTGATAAAGGGGTATTTCGAACTACTTTGAATCTATGTAACAGAAATGTGTACGGAAGAGAGGAAGAGGTATATATCTTAAATTAAAACTAGGCAATTAGGGTATACGTATATTAAATCATGTTTTAAATTTCATTTAGAATTGTACTGAACTCTGCAATAGTTATCCCAAAACGAATTCCGCAAGAATCTTGCTTTACAACAGAGCAATACAGAGCATCGGGCAGTCGATCAGGCCCGACTAGACCCAAATGACTTTTGTTTTTTTTGGTTAAATGCCGCGCTAAAGTTTACTGCTAATTAAAAATTGTAGAAACGAGAAACATGCATGCAATTCAATACCCAGAAACCCAACCGCCCGCAATTGAAAATGTTGAGATGAAGATATCCACAAATATATGTATATATATATATTTATCCACATATATGTGTATAGAGGACCCGCCTTGTAAGCGTAATGTGTGAAAAACCGCTGCGCCCTTATGCTGGGGTCACCTCTTGAAAGGATTGGAATTGTTTTCCCACCGAATTTGATCGAAGCCCCTGCGCCCCTGCCGCCCGGCCGGAGCGGGGGGTTAGAGTGCCGCTCACTTTTAGGTTATCCGTAATTATAAAGTGAAATAAATTGATTGCTTAACGGCAAAGTTAATGACAGCTATCGTCGGCTTCCTTCCTCTGCGCCGCCGATGACGTCAGCGACAGCTTCTGAAGCAGCGAGAACGGCGCGAAATACTCGCATTTATCGCACTTTCATGTGGGACCCGCAGCAGCGACGGCAGCAGCGACGGCAGCAGCGACGGCAGCAGATGACGGCGCGACGTTTGGCACGGCGTGAAACTGCAGTTGCCATTGCATTGGGCAAACATCGATCGACAAATCCAATTTAAATTAAGAACACTCAACATTTAGGTACCCCATATTCTCACGGTGTAAGTGGCCACCGGGCAGTGGGCAGAAGTAATGTTCCTGCCGATGCGGGAGAGCCTCAATCAAGCAAACCATCAGATAAACATAGTACGTATGTGCATATGTATATGTGTAATTACTATCAGGCTAGGTACTATACATATTGTTAACAAGGGCAGCAGTTATTCAATTTCAATAAGATATCAACCAGAGTTTGCGGGATTTACTTGGTCGCTTGGCGCAAGTAAAGCCCCTCCATTCAGATACGGGCCTTATTATTGACTCATTGAATTTGCTAAGAAGCGCGTACTTTTTCTATTGACATTCAGCATTTTCTCTAATGATTAACGATTCTTTTGTATGAATATGATTTTAAGATAGTTTTTTACATTTGTATATATACAAATCATCATATCATATTTCTTAACCTTTCTTATAAAGGTTTTAGGGCCAAGCCTTAGAATACATAAAAAATGATATATAAACGCGAATGCATAAACGACATTTAAGGACAACTCCACAGAATAAAAGCTAAAATATGCATGCACAAATATCTCGTAATTCTGTAAAATAGTAAAATAAAATAAATAATAAATAGCAGTAACCAAAAACTTTTATTGAAGGATTAACTATTGTTATTAGGAAGAAAAACAAGGCAAAACAAGGCTAAATAAATGTATAAATCAAGTGACTGAACCTTAGACAATTCCTCGCATTCCTTTTGCGAGCAATGCATTGTATAAACTATTTAAGTATACATTTATTTCATTATTTTTCCATTGCTTTACGCTTTACGCCTTACGATTTACGGTAATAGCCATATTCCATTCCCGTTCAATGGCCGCCTACAGCGGCCGGCAGCCAATGAGGCGGCAACAGGTGCAAAGCGACCAATGCCAAATGAGCAGCGCACACCTAGCGAGAGGCAAACACCTCGCTCATTAGCGCACCCACGCGAGCACACACACATACACTCGCACGCTGTTAAGAGCGAAAACTAATTAACATACAAAATGAATGCGGTGGGAGAAACAACAACAACAACAAAAAACCGCTAAACGCCGTTTGCTTTGCTCATTCTCGCGCTCTTGGCGTCAACGGCAACGTCAGCGTCAGCGTCAGCGTCGTCGTTGGCGTCAAGTGAGAAAAGTATTGAAGCTCCACCTTTTTACACTCACACAAACACACACGCACACACACACTAAAAACCAGCAGCGAGTGAGAAATGCACATGTGTGTTTGTGTGTGTGTATGTGTAATTTTTGTTTTTTGGGAGCGGGGAGAACACATGTTAACCGCATTAAAAATTAATGTACAAATTGTTTATTATGTTGTTGAGTTTGCTTTTTCGCCGTCGGGCCCACACACACGAACACATTTGTGTAAATGTGTCTGTGTGTATGTGTGTTTGTTGGGCTTTGATGACTTTTGACTACGCAATCATTGCAAGAGTTTCAGGATTTTTTTTTTTATTTATATGTTGCCTTTGATTTGCTTTGGACGGCTTCAACTTGTTGATTGAGAGTCGAAAACAATATTTTTTCCCATTTGGAGCATTTCTTTTGAATTTGTTGCCCAAGTGTTGTCGTTGTTGTTATTTTTATTGGCCGTTTGCATCTCTGATGTGCGTGATGGACATTCTCAAGAAGTTTTGCTTCTTGTCAACGTCAACAGAATGTCAAATGTGTTGCAATCCCAGGCGAAAAGTGGCCGCAGCCTGATATTTTTAAGCTGGAAATTCTAACACACAAACTTGCACATAAAATAAGCCTCAAGCACGCAGAGAAAATGCTAAGTGCAAATGATTTTCGCCTTATTGATGAGTTAAATATGGCAGATTTCTGAAGAAATTTAAATTCTTTTTTATTTTACAATCTTCTTCAAATGCAGTAAAAACAAACGGATTATTAATCTTTAAAATACATATATTTTTTTCCTTTACACACATTTCCATTTGCCATTCTAGTTAATGCAATCATTTCTGTAAGACTAACAGTCTAACGTTTCGGCTTTACGTCAAAGTCAATATCGTAATGTTAGAAGCATGTTATTAACAGCGGCGCTTTAACAGCATACGATAACGCGTCAGCCCCAGTCTATAACAGAAACATAACAGAGCGCTCTCTCCAATTGGCCGCAGCACCACCAGCACACACACACACACACACTCGCGCGCGCACAGGCAGGAGGTGGGGGCGTACGTTTGTCGAGGCTGCCGCGCCAGCATATCACCTCGGCAGCGCTGCCACCCCGCACACAGACAAAGACACACACTATCAACAAACGGTGCACCGTTACACGTTGCCGTTCTGCTATATGCCCGCTGCCTGTTATTGGTGTATGGGTGTTACACACACACACACTCACATATACACGCAAGCTACCACATAACAAATGTGCTCGGCGCTCTCGTGCTCAGTTGCGCTCTCGGGCGTTCGCTCTTGCCTCTGTGCCTTTTGTCGTGCCGAGCACAAATATACTGAAGCACCCTCACACACATGCACAGAGATGCTGTCGCTGATACTGAAGCAGTGACTGAGGCTGCTCAACGTAGAAAACAGAAATCAACAGAAACCGTTAGTTGAATTCTAGACGTCGCGTCGGCCGCACACGCGCTGCTCCCCCACAGCGCTAAGAAGCCAACGCATTGAAAAACAATTGTAGAAATCGAGTCGAAAAAGTATCTGTCAGATACACGCAACGACGCGCAGTGTGCTCCAACTTCAGGAATAAAGTAAACAAACAAAAATAGAAGAAAAAAAACGCGCCAAGTGCAAAATGTTGTAAATTCATATATGCATAAAATGAGAAATTAACAAAAAATATTCTAAAGAATAATTAAGAAACTAGCCAGCCCAATGGCCGCTACACGTGTGTGCTTAACAAATATCTAACCGATCCAAGATCCGAAACACTCTAAGCAAACCCCACAGAACCCAACCAAAATCAATCAATCGAAGAAAACACTTGTGAAAGCCATTGAACAAAGAAAGTGTCGTACGCAACAAAAAAAGCATTCCAATGTTGTCCTGTTTGGCGCCATCGTCTACACGTTTTGGCCAAGAGGATAACATTATACAGCAGAGCATGCCATCATCCACAGCCTTCTCCATGCAGTGTAAGTCAGCCAATTCCAGAGATCAAGCACTTTTTAGATCCAGCGATGAGTCAGCTCTCATTCAATTGACTAGAAATTCACTTTGCATTATCAGCGCAATGCAATTGAACTTTGTGTGTGTGTGTGTGTGCGTTGCTGTGCTGGTGTATGTCTCACTCTGTGTGTCCAATTCATTCAACTTTTGCAAAGCGCGCCAAAAGCTAAACAAATCTGTGTTTCAAGCTTCGCTCATTGTCAATGTCAACAGTTCCGCAGAAACGCCGCCATTTTCAACGGCTGTGTGGTCCCCAACGATCCACCAAATACAAATTCACCTTAAACGAGAAAACAACACAGCAAAAAATATCAGTAAATAACAATAAAACACACACACACACACACACAGACACACACACAGAGAGTACTTGGCATCGGATTTCCATTTTCATTACCTCCTACGCAAAGCAGCTCAAGCGCTGAGCCCCTTCCCCCTTCCGATCGACGCTCTTTGACGCTCTCTTCAGCGACCACAAGCTGCGCCTTGGCTATGCAGGCGCTGTTTAATCACCTCCAGCTACAGTTTTGAAAATAAACACCTCTAAGGTATACACACACACACACACACAAACACTCTCACGAGTAACCAGAAGAAAGGGTCCTAAACGTAAAGAACCCCAAGATCTGAAAGCTATCAAGAATTCGAAATACCCTTTAGGATTATGAGTTTAACAAGTTTTTAAATCATATATATTTCTGACTGATAATATTATTATTACAATTAGACTTATTATTCACATTATTATCGTTATTATTATTAATATTCTCATTATAATTATTATAAGTATTTTCATTAGAATAATTATTACTTTCTACAAATTTTAATACTATTTGTACTACTATTATTATTATTATTATTATTATTATTATTATTATTATCATATATGTTATTATTGTTTTTATTATTATTGCTGAAGTTATTGCCAATATTAATATTATTGAAGAGATGCATAAAAGACTTAAACCAAAACTTAAGTTCGTTGAATACATCTTCTTGAGAACTTTTTTGAAATTATTTAATATAAATATACATATATTAATAAATTTGAATATTATATTTCTCATATATTGTAAAATTGAAGCTCTTGATCGTAGCCAGACTTTTATTAACTTTCCATCTTCTGATGCTAAAGATTATTATTTGATATTTATTATATTATATTCAAATTTCTTATTTCTCTATTACGACGGGAATTTATTGGAGATTTGCATATAAACTTTTCTATTTGACGCTTAGCTTGATATTTTCTTAAATTTTAAGGTGAAGCATTTGTTTAACTTGGATCTTAAACATACCTTTTTTTCAATTTAATCACCTCAATAGGAAACGAAATACTGCTGAGGGTAATTTTTATGTGGTTTGAGGGAGAACAGCTCAGGTTGCAATTTACCTGTCAGAATTGTTTTTGTTTCATTTATTTATAGTTGAACTAAACTCATTATGCGGGCTCTTTTATAGAGCTTTTGTGAATCGCACGATTTTGTCGGCGACCAATTGCAAACGCATTCGAATTTGATTTGTTGGCAGCAGTTGGCAGCGCGTCGCCTTGGCCAACTGCTCGGCAGGCGTAAGATGCGATTAGCTTGTGGCGCAGGGGCACGGCCGGGGGCAGGCAGAGGCAGACAGGTAGGCAGCCACCACCGCAATGGCTGAGAGTCAAGTGCTGGCGCCTCCTACAATGTCAACGTCACCACCATTCAAACAGCACAAACACACACAGACAAACAAACACACACGCAGAGCAGCTCACCTGTGTGTGACATGCGCACGCGAACAGGTAGAACTGTCTCCGTCTCCGTTCCACTCGGCAGCTCGTAAGCCGGCCGTAAACCTGGTTAACCTGTTCGACTTTATGACCGAGTTATGGCCATTGTCAGTGGCAAATGGCAGCTTGTGGGTTCATTGATTGATTGTGCAGCGGGTTTTCCCCTACAGATCTTTGCTCTTCGTTTCATTTCGGTCTTCGCTTTGTGGGCCATTACGAAAAGTTGCTGAACAGTTCTCTTGAAATCAAATAAAATGCCGAACAGCCAATCAAAGTGTAAACAAAACATAAAACTGTCAGTGGGCGCAGCTCATCAACGCCCCGACTAAAGTGAAGGTGTTAACAAATGCAGCACGGCAAGAAAAATTCATTTCAAATATCTTTTATTTGTTGCTGGAAATTCCAAATTTTTGTTAACTGAAACCGAAAATGAGCTACAAATTTATGGCGCAATATCATTATAGCCACTGCCCACGTCTACGTCCATGTCTAGATCCACGTCCACATCCACATCCACGTTCACATCTCAAAGCTGTGACAATTAATAAGCACTGCTAAACATACGGATTAATTGCACATGTTCGCAGCGACTGACGAGCGCGGAGGGGAACCGCGCCGCATGGCAAATGCTAATGCGAGGGCAGTTCCTTGAGTTGTCAGCAATTGTTGATCTATTATCGCTTATATGCCAGACATTTAATGCACATTTCTGCTAAAAGTATTGAAAGCGCATTTGACATATTTAATGCAAATACAAATCTTTTCGGTAAATAGTTTGGTTTAGCCGATGGAATACACTCGGATATAACAAAGGGAAATAATTGTATCCGCGTATTACAATTGGCCTAGTCTAGATATATTTACAATATATATATATATATTACAATCTGTATATTCCTAGTTTTTTGATGATTCTTTAAAATTATAAGCCAAAACGTGCTTAATGCTAACTATTTGAAACTTATTCTATGTTTTATTGATTAATAAATTGCTTTTCAAACTTAAAAATTAATTTTATATTTGGTAAGCAATCACCTTTTTTTTTCATTTAAAACGTATCTAAGATCTGAGAAACGACTCTCGTTGGCTGCTCGTGTGTTCGGGCCAAACAATAAATTATAATTTATGGGCATTTAAGTAGCGCCCTCTGCTTTTTCTTCTTCTACTGCTTCTTCTGCCGTGCAAAGTGGCAGCGGCAACTTGTTGTTGTTGTTGTAGCTGGATCGCGGCTAAAAGCCACCGAAAAAGAGCACAGCTAATCGATCGATCAGACAGCGCTGTGCACAGGTTGCCCCAATATAAATGCGTAGATACATTTCAAACATGCTAAGTAGGTATTTGGATACAGATACAGATACAGATACAAATGTATCTGGCTGGCGACGTGTGCGCTTTTTCCGGTTGTTTGTTGTTTGTCTGGGACGCCTTTTGATGTCACCGGGCAGCTGCGGCCGCGATGTATATTAATCGCTGCTACATTGAAAACGCTGTTCGCTTCTCGCTGCCCGCTGCCCGCTGCCCGCTGCCCGCTTCTTGCTGCGAAACTCGTTTGCTGCTGCTTTTGGGGCGTGTGTTTGTCGCGTTTCGAAATTGCTCCGAAATGTCATAAATCAAAAATGTTGGTATCCCCAAACGACGAGGCTAAAAACCTGTCTGTCGCTGTGTTATCACCTACACACAAATTATGTATTTGGTAACGCGCCCCCCACAAACCCCTCCTCAGGCTTTTATGCCCACTGCCACAACATTTAGTCTGCCGCGTGCAACACTAAATCAATGCTGAAAGCTGTGCTAATTTCTTGACGGCCAGGAATATACTTACATACATGATCACGATTCTTTGTAGTTCTGCTGTGTTTTTGTACAGCCTGATAACATAATTAGAAACTTAATAAGTATTCTGTTTACTTCTTACTTAACAGCATATCTTTTAGACTATTTTCATGCATTAAGATTATATTAATTTGTCTTATTTATCTTTCTATCTGCAATTAAAGCTCTCTTCGTGCAACTAAATATCGATAAGTTATCGATACGCGCATACACCACAAGATACATAAGTTATCGATAATTGGTCGTTTATTTTTAGACGTAAACAAAATGTGCCTTTAATATTCTGTATTTCTGTCAAAACAAAATATCAAAAAACCTTAAAATATTTTAATTGAAAAGATACAGATTTTTTAAAGGTCTCCATTAAATTAATTTATTTATAAAGAACTCTGCACATTTTATTGTATTTAATAGGAATCTTATCTGTATTTCTTATAGCATGATTCATTTGGAGCTGTTTTCTTGATTATATTTTTCAGTTGAAATTCAATGTAATCTTTCGATTTGAATCGTTCTAAACTAGCTGCACAAGGTTCATTCATATCGATTGTAGTTTCCATTTATTTTTATTTTTATTTTTCTGGTTATTTTTTCATTAGCTAAAGAAATCCTTGGGGCATATTTTCAACACATACTCCAGCCGAGCCAGCATTGAGCAACATCGTAAAGTTCCTCCATCATTTATCTCTAGTCAGGCTCCCGGCTCGGTGTGCTGCTAATTAATCATTTTGCTGCCGTCAGTGAATGTCAGTTTTATATGCTGGTGCTGTCGGTGCTGCCATTTATATTGCTACCGGCTCTCGGCCTATCTGATGGCGTCTCACGTTGACATACGCTCCTGGCCCGCCTGGCCTGACTGTCGCTCCTGGCCAGGAGTCTGTGCCGGTAATCGAAATTAAGCAAACTTTTGCCCAAACTATTTGCAAGTGGCAGGCGCAGAATGATTAATTTGAGCAGGCGCAGCTAATGCTCAAAAGACAACTTGTTTGTCTAAGCACAGACTCTACACTGATCGCATCTAAAGAGGAATGTGTGTGTGTGTCTTTTTGAGCAGCTGCCAAGTGCCGCTGCTTGCCGTGCAACATTGCAAAAATCGCTAAACAAATATATTAGTGTGCCTTTGAAGGACTCATTCGCGCCAGGACAATAAATCAAGGGGCGCGGCAGCAGAGCAAGGTACTGGGAATTACTTTGATATCCTGCAACCTGGCACAGCTTTGTGCAAATTATTTGCCGCATTTTACTTTTATTTTTGCCATTTTGCTTACAAGTAAATTGTTTGCCAATATTTTTGTTTCTTTTATTTGCCTCTTTTTTGTGCCCATTGCTGTTGCCTTTGTGCACACAATTGAAACAAAGATAACT